GGAAATTCACAGGGCTATATTGAAATCTTGTAGTAGTTTTGGAAACCTCTTGGGTCCTCTTGGGATAATGTTAGTACGCAAGGTTATCCAAGTTGTCGGCTTTTGTGCTTTTTGGGCGTTCAATCGCCCTTCTTCTCTCTTCCTCTCTCCCAATTTGTGCTTGGAACCCCTCGCCTTCGAGGGTTTGACGGTTTGTCTGCAGTAAACTCTGGGACATGCGGCACGTCTTTCCCAACCATCGACGGGCCACCATCAACCCGATGAGGGTTGAAAAAAACACTCGTCGATAATTCTTCGGAAACAATGATGGTCCTTCGAGGCTTGCAGGGGCCCATGCGGGGTTTCCGCTGATACATGATCCATGTGATGTCAAGAAGTAGGGAATGAGTGGTGCGACTCATAGGGAATGAGAGAAGAATGTCATGGAACGTGTGGCCCGCGTGATTCTCTTTAGTGGTCCCCTGGCCGTCTTTGGAACCTGTCCAGTCGGGCACACGCCGCGACCCCGCGTCTGTCGATGTTCCTTCATCCCCCAGGCCTTCTTGCTACCTGGACGGCCCAAGCCTAAGATGCCCTCGAAGTGGGTCTTGATATCCAAGTCATGATCCACCATCAGAAACAAGCCGTTCCTCGATGGAAACGATGGAAACCAAAGCAGCGAACGAGTTCACTCGATTTGCTCTGGTCAAAGCTTTGGAGCATGAAGGAGGCACCCACCCTGCATTCGTTGGGACATCTACAGACCTGAAGGCCTTGGTAACCAAACGAGCTAGAGCGAGTCGAAGATGGGCAAAGCACACCCCAAACCTCACCCACGGCCCGAATCGTGGAGATCTTGACGATGTCGGATGGTTTTCCCCGAAACCTTCACGTCTGCCAGGGCTCTTTAGGTAGGCCTTCACCCGTCCAATTTGGACATCGTCGCTGGCAATGTTAATGGCCACATCTCCACTGCCAAAGGTGATGACCTCATGGTACAAAGAAGGCGCAGTCGCACGTTGCTGAACCTGCTGCACGAGCCACATGGCAAAAGCCAAATCAACGAGGTATGAACAAAGGATGGGCTGTTGGGCACATGCTGCAACCATCTCATCAAATTCATCCTGTGTAAGAAAGTAAAAGGCTCGTTACCTCAAGCCTCAATCCATGTTATTCCGATCGTTCTGTTGATGGATGTTGTTGTGCTCCATGCTTTGGAGCAGTTCCACACTCGGAGGGCACAGAGAGAAAGCAAACATGAGACATCCCCTTCAGGCAAAGGAAGCAGCCACGAGCGAACCCCTGGCATTCACAATGCAGCAGCATTGGCTCCCACGCAGGTTCAAACATGCAATGCTATCCAACCCATGGTTCTTCACTTCCCCTTCTGTCCTAAACACCGGGCAGCCTTCAGGTCGGTCAGTGAACCCTGCACCTGTAGTCCTTCTGTGCATTCGAGAACAAACTCATGCGTCTCGTTCACACAGAATCCAGGCCCCCCCCCGGTTCGACCATCGCTCTCACCGCCAGAAGACCATCTTGGCAGGCTCTGCCTTCTGGTCTTTGGGGACCTCACCCTGAGACGCTCTGCGAACGGTCGCATCAGCGAGCACTGACTGGGATGTTCGACGATGGGGGAGACTTTGGCATCTTTCTTTGGAGTGCGTGCTTTGTGATTTTGCCGTCAACCATGGGCCGAAAAACATGTCAAGTATTATTGTCTAAGTCTAAGTCGGTTGCATCAGGTTGCCATGTCTCAGGCCGCGCGGAAGCAGGGGCCACCAACGCCAAAGACTCCTGGATTCCATGATCCCAGAATCAATTGTTGATAACTATTTCCAAACACTCCATGTATGAAATGGTGTAATTCATTCAGTACATACAGTAATTAGGGTCATAATATGGTTATTTACTCATGCAGTAAATGGATGTCAATGGCGTGTCTGGGATTCTTTCGTTCCTGGAGTGCCTGCTTTCCTTTCTTGCATCGCCCCAGATCGATCTCACTCCGCCCAACCGACGCGGCGCGGCGATGGGTGCAACGCCTTGGAGTAGTTCCTCGCATCAAAGAGGGGCACATTGAAGGAGTCGGAGCTGATTGGATCCTTGGAGCGGAGCATCGCCCAGGCGCCTCTCGTTGGATTCGGACGATGTCAGTCAGCTCCTCAAGTGACAAAAAATAGATCGAGAAAAGCAATTGGTTGAGCCAATCAAACATGGGATGAGACACATAGTAACAAACACTGGTAGGTGTTGTTCAACATTAAACTCCTTGAACCCCTTTTCTCACAGCCTGAAGGGGTGCTGATATGTGGCACCTCGGATTCCAAACCACTCGAATAAAAGTAAAGTTGTCGGATGAAACCCTGGAGTGTGAAAGTGCTAATCTTTGAGGAAGTCTTCACACTGATCTTGGACTAGAAGACCTGCATGGTGGAGAAAAAACCATCATACAAGTCGGACAGGTGCCTCGCAGGACCCCCAAACTCGAGCCCCTCAAACCTGTCACGCATGAGACGTGAACGAGTGATTGATGAATGTATGCGTTTTGCCAATGACTCCTTTCTCTTCCTAAAGAGGCTTTGTGCATGTGTTGAGTGAATTATTGTGAAGACCTGTGAAGCCTTGAAATAAATTCTGTCCACTCGACTGCTGGCTCAAGGACTGTTTAATTCTGAGAGTGGGAATACAGTAGTAACCGTCACCTGACGACATATATGTCCAGCTTTCCCAGACCTCACGCCTACCACAATGTCCATTAATTTCCTATATATACGTGAAACTCCCGTGAACAGCATAGACATATAAACCAGTACAATGTACATGACTTGATTGGCATGAATGAAACCATCTCAATTTGATCAACCAGCCTTCCTTCCACTACCTTCCCATCTACGACACTTAGCTCTCTAACCCCCACACCTCGCCAACCCTCTCTTAACCACCTCTTCTCCGCCCTTCGAATTCGCTACGTACTATCGGCATGCCATCCCCGGCATCTCCCCATCGAGCCATGGCGCGGAGAAGCAGGCGCGGCCTCACTCGGAAGGACAAAGCTTACAGGAGCAATCCTTGACGATGCAATTGTCGCTCCCGGTGTCCGCCACCAAATCCAAGCGCTGCGCGGGGTGCCCCACGGAGACCCGGACCTCGAGTCACGGGGTGAGGGGAGGATGCAAACCCGTGATATGTAAGGGCAAAATATGTATATCAAAGTCGTAAGTAGTGAGGTTTCAGGATCATGTATGGACTTGTGACTTGCTCATGCTTGCTCTTTGCAATTTTTGGTTGGGGTGGCCAAACGGCCAAACAGATCTCGTATGCTGTTCACGCGCGCATCGACCAGTCGGCTCTCACCCCTTCAGTTGGCTCGGCTCAGTCGGTCGCTCTCACCCGAGGCGCTGAAGAGTAGGTCTCCCGGTTGGAGAGAGGTGTGCAGGTCTCGCCGCTGTAGCTCTGATCGCCGCTGTAGCTCTGATAGACGACCAGGCTTTGGGCCACATGGAAGAGGATTAAGGATTTTTTCACCTGGCGAAGCGTGAGTCGATCGGAGTGAGGACCTTCAACCTGAAAGATTCCTGGTCCACCATTGGTTTGAGAGCCTGCATCCCGAAGAATCATGGTATTTACATGTATTTGCCAACGAGTTCATACTTGCAAAGCCAGCTCAACCTGTCTTGGAATGGAAGGCTGTGGTTTCGACTAGCAGCTATGGTCTCTTGCTTTCTGTCGCGGTCTGTCTCCGGTCTCCGGTGTCGGTTGATGGACACCCCGAATCACCTCTTTTCGGGGCTACCCATGGAATGCCCAAACAGGGGTGTCCTGGAATATGTTCTTCCTATACTCAATATTTAGAGCATTGCCCAATAAGAAGCAATACTCCATATTAACCACATGTTGAAAAATGTGTGATATAATACCTGTTGGGTCAAACACAACATCGAGACACGAATCAGCAATACACCATGAGCATGCACATGCAAGATAATGACGAGGAAGGCGACATATACTAAACTTACAAAAGTACCTTTATTGAACAGTCCTCTTCATTGAGGTTCTTTTACTACAAAAGGCTCTTGCTGTACATCTTTTGTGCGGGATGTTCCTATCTCGATAGAGTCTCAGTTTGTTGTGCACGTTGTGCGCCATCTCTCTATCTCTCTCTCCCTCTCTCCCGCCCCCCCCTCCTCGGACTGGCGCTTCTAGCGGGAAAACACAATTCCAAGCAATGACTAACTGACAATCAGCAGGATCTCAAAACTTAGTGCTTCAGGTCCGGCTATGTGATTCAACATTTCAACAACGGCTCAATGAGATTCTGATCGACCCAGTCTCGCATCCCTTATGCGGGACTGTATCTTAATGGGGGTGGCCCCCCAGCCAAGCGGTTTGGGTCAATTGGTCTTCCAGGTCTTTTGGGGGTCCCCATTCCATGCACATGATGTTCTCCTCCATACTTCTATAGGACTGATTGCCTTGCCCACTCTGCAGATCCATGCACATGTCCGCAACCCCGCAATCCTGTGACGTGATGTGGCCCTGCCTTGCTATGCATATAGTACGTAATCGGAGGTCACCAGTGATTGGCGACTTATGGTTGGTAGTAGTTCGTGAATAGCAAACTTGAGCGGCAAATGGCAGCAAATACAGTTGCAGCCATGCCGTTCTCAGTCGGACAGGTGCAAGCATGAAGTCTACTTGGATCAACGAGTCACCAATAGCCTACCCCAGATTATTTTTGGATCTCCACTATACCATCCTGGTAATTAGGAGAAAACGCCTCGTGCACCAAGCATGCGAACAAAATCTGCCCAAAGGACGGGGTAGTGACACAAGAAGATGCTGTGCGAGGTTCTGTCCAACTAAAGAGCTCAAGTCCAGTCCAGAATCATTGTTGCTATGATTTGGTATGTCTACGGTCCCACGTCCAGAATCTTCGGGCGAGGGCGACTCCTTCCCTGTGTCCTCGTCCGCTCCTTCACGCCGGGGAGCGGAGCGCTCCTTCAGCTCGGGCTCCACACACCGACAAGACGCCCTCCACACCTCGGCGCCGACGAGAGTTCACGCGGCGAAGCTTCTGCACACGACGTCGGGGTGGGACGCTACGCCCCAAGAGCAAAACCGCTGGTTCGCCCTATTCTTTTTGTTTGGTCATTGGGGTATCTATTGAATTGGTGCTTGATGCCGAATTTGGACAGATTGAGGTATTTGGCAATATTTGGCATTTGTGTTTAACGTACAATTTGGTATGTCATTGGCTGCTGGAGCCAAATAGCAAATTACTTTACTTCGAGTGATCCCCACCATGACATTCATACATTTTATTGTATAAATGTCATGGTGAGGATATTATGGTTCAGAACCATGCTCGCTGCACTTTTTTTATCTATCTGGCATATCTTCTTGCATTCTATCTGGCGAACTATCTAGCATACTATCTGCCATTCAATCTGCCATTCTATGTGGCAATCTATCTGACATATTCTGACATACTATCTGGCATACTGTCTGGCATACTATCTGGCAATTCGTCTGGCATACTATCTGTCATTCTATCTGGCATACTGTCTGGCATACTATCTGTCATTTTGTCTGGCATACTATCTGTCATTCTATCTGGCATTTTATCTGGCATTCTATCTGGCATATTTTCTGGCATTCTATCTGGCAATGTATCTAGCAATCTATCTGACACACTATTTGGCATACTATCTGGCATATCTTCTTGCAACATTCTATCTGGCAATCTACCTGGCATTCTATCTGGCATTTTATCCGGCAAACTATCTGGTTGAAGTCCAGCGGTGCGCACTGCGATCGGATCCTTGCGGTTGAGGTCCAGCGGTGCACACTGCGATCGGATCCTTGCGGTTGAGGTCCAGGGGTGCACACTGCGATCGGATCCTTGCGGTTGAGGTCCAGGGATGCACACTGCGCTCGGATCCTTGCGGTTGAGGTCCAGGGGTGCACACTGCGATCGGATCCTTGCGGTTGAGGTCCAGGGATGCACACTGCGATCGGATCCTTGCAGTTGAGGTCCAGGTGTGCACACTGCGATCGGATCCTTGCGGTTGAGGTCCAGGGGTGCACACTGCGATCCGGAGCTTGCCAAACAAGATCGGCGAAGCAGATTGGCGAAGCAGATTGGCGAAGAAGATTGGCGATGAAGTTTGGCGATGAAGATTGGCGAGGAGGTTGGCGAGGAAGGAAGCAAGGAGGAAGGAAGGAAGGAAGGAAGGAAGGAAGGAAGGAAGGAAGAGGAAGAACAACTGCGCTGAACCCAAAGAAACACTGAAAAAACAAACTATTGAAACAACTATACACGCAGGACACAAAAAGGGGCATCGGATATCAAAACCTCCAATCCATGATCAGCCATGACTTCACCTAATCGGAGTGATCTGGGATGCACATGTCCCTTGCATCTGAGGGCCCTGAGAAGAAGCACAACGGGTGTGCGAGACAGAAGCGTTCATAGAGATCTACCCTCCCTCCAACAAACATGGAAGTGGAACATGGCCTCTTGGAAGACTGTTTTCCTCTACAAACCGGTGGTTTTCCACTTCCGTTATTGTTTCAGGGAGAGCACTTCAAAAAGAAAACACAAGATCAAACAAGTAGGTACCACCTAGACTAGTGACACAAGATCAATCTAGTGGGCTTCCATAGTCTACTTGAATCATCAAAACAAAAAGAATTAGTAAGCAACTCACTACTACCAAGCTCCCTGGCTGCGCGAGAAGGAGTTGAAGGACCATGTGTGTTCTGCCCAATGCTCGTCCACCTCCTGCATGGCCGCAGCAAAGTGCATGACAAAACCACGAAGTTGAAGAAATAAATCCCACGCGTGAGACCATTTAAATAAAGGTTTCTAGAACATTCTAGAACTACCCAAATTCCTAGCAAATACCGGCAAGGACTCCCGGTGGGGCAAAACTTAGTCTAACAACAACCACGACGACGACGACGACGACGACGACCACGACGTAAGAACCACTCCTACGTCATGTCCAAGTTGTAGACTTAGCTGCTGCCACCAGGACATGCTTCTCCTTGCATGATTCCTCTCCGACAAACCTGCCACCCCTGTGGAACAAATTTATACATAATAATTAACCAAGTCTCCCATGTTGTCCCACCTGACATGTGCCACCTCTTGGAGTGTCACTCTCGCAGCCACAGGATCAGTGGGGGGGTTTTCGAGGTGAGTCTATGTGAGCCTCACGTACTTGTATTTGAAGGGCCTTTGAAGATCTCAACCATGAGGCTTGCCTCAAACGAACCGAATTGTCGGTCGCCGTGGCGGTTTTGCCCCCAACTTGCGCCCGGCCCGTTGGTCACCTCCAGCTGCCCGGAGCTGGCATGAAAGAAACATGGCCATGCACAAAACCATCATCGAACGTTCCACAGTGTTCCACTGTTTTCCATGAAAGCTTCCATCATCAATACCATCAGAATCAGACGTTCCATGATTTTTCCCTCATGGCTAACCGTCTTGATTGACGTTTGGAACGCATCGTCGACTTGCACCGTGCGTCTTCGGTGACGTTCTCCGCTCCTCAGGCACCCAAAGGCCCCGAAAGATCAAAGCCTCACCACCGTGACGGCTCGAGACAGGTCTTCGAAACAACAGCTGACGTCAGGGTCGGCGGCCCGAGTTGCCCGTGGTGAGACCGGCAAGAAACATCCATGAACCGCATGAACACAGAAATGGGTGTGTGATGGTGTGTGTGCGCGTGCGGGCGTGCGGGCGTGCGTGCGTGGGTGTCTGACGTGCTTTTCTTCTTCCTCCATCAACGGAGCCTTTTTCCAGCAACTGCCACCAAAGAAAGCTCCTCCTAAAAAGAGCTGGAAGCTCTATATATGAGACCTGTTCCACTCTGAGCTACCGACGCCTCCCTTGGGTGCCAAAGGCTCTAGACCTCGGTCGATCTCTGAGCTGTGACGTGGGTCTTCCAGGGACAAAGGCACCAGGGATCGCCAGCAAAAGGGAAAGTCGAGAAAAACAAACCAAAAGCGACCACCTCTTGGTTCAAATTAGAAAGAAATCGTAGCAATCCACATCACAAGGATGACAACACAAGACTTTCGGTACCTTTACCATTCATACTTATCTGCTCTCTGTTCTTGAGACATCCTCATGCAAGCTGAACATGACCTCGAACCGAAGGTGGCAACAAAAGATATGTTGTCAGGTCGGCTGATTTCACTGGCTCACCCAAGTGCAAACAAATTGAACACACCTGCGTCCCAGCCACAGAAATTAAGATCTTGGTACTCATGGCGATAGGTCCTCACCTGCGTCCCAGCCACAGAAATTAAGATCTTGGTACTCATGGCGATAGGTCCTCGAGTGATAAATCCATATAAATCCGGCAAGATCCTTACGGAATTTGTGAAAGTTGGGCCTGAGGCCTCACATGACACCCTCAACCTCGGCAGCGATGAATTGGGCACCCAGCTAATGCCACAGTGGCGCACCACAAACAGGGCCTCTGGCGTCCACACCCGAGAATTTGCGTTGAACATGGCTGGAAATGGCTGGAAAAGGCAGTTGGAAAGGCAGTTTGACCTGCGGAACACTTCACCCAAGCCCGGTGCGGTTGGCCTGTCATACTCACAGCCGTCCTGTCCGATTCCGCCCGGTGGCCTGCCATGCCGCCATCAAGGCATAGACCAAGACCTGCTCGGTCCGAACGGATTGACCGTCAGCCACGGAGTGAATCCAAACATGAATGGTCCAGGCGATGACCAATCAATCTGTTGGATCTCAACCAGCACAGCACCACCTCCAAAAACAGAACTACTAGTACATTGTACATTCAAGCTTCAAACAGGAGTTGGAGACGTCTAAAATGTGTTGTATTTGGACAGCCACAGTATGTCAGTGTCATTGCTTCATTGAACGCTTGTCCTTGGCCCATCACGCCAACGTTCCAAAGTGATCCCAGCTCGATCTCCTGACTGAAGCTGCGTATTTCAGAACCTTTGGAGCACCCACACCTCCGTCTATGGGGGGCTTTATTAATCAAAGAGTCATCAAACCAGCTGCCCATCCCCTCTGGGACCCCCCACGGAGTAGGGGCCTTGGTGGCGAACCGCCAGCGCTGTCCACCCGTGTGGAACTTCATGACTTGGCCGTTCTGAGCATGTCTATGCTTGCTTCTTTGGGATGCAACATCGTAACCTCCAAAGAGACCCATGTGTAAAAATCTGTGATCTATTATGATCCGTTATGATCCGTTTGTGTTTGCCTTAGCCGTGCTAGCCATGTAACATCACCAAGCGTTCTTCCCAGGCAGCTGTCACGCCACCAGGACTAAGGTTGATAGCAAATCTCCTGCCCAGCAGCTGAAACTCCTCGTGGTCAATTTCGGTGCAGAATTGGGTCCCCAAAATCGCTTGAAACGCAGTGGCTGCCTCACAAAAAGCTTACCGTGCGCATTTTGTGGGGTGGTGCCTGATGGTTTCAACATGTCACATTCCATCAATAGAAACCAATACTCTTCAGTTCACTCTGAGCCTTGTCTCCGCAAGGTGACGCCCCCAACACCCTCGGTCTCCGCACGTCCATCGTGGTCCAACCTACACGTGGGGACCGGCCGGTGCTCAACGATGGACAGGTGATCGATAGGTGCCTGACAGCTGTAGACATCTGGTGGGCCCTGTAGGACATGATCAGAAACAACACTGACATAGACCCCAGAAGGCCTGGAGGCTGTAAGGAATGAACATGAAGGAAGGAACAAGCTCCAATCCAGTCCAAAGAAGAACAATGAATGGGTAAACTGTCTATGCTCACCTGTCCACATCACCTGCCCTTCCAGCATCCCAAAACTCCTTCAATTCTGAGGGGCCGTGGACCCAAATGCAGCAACAGGTGGAACCTCTCCATCGCCGCCCTCCCCATGGCCGCCCCGCTTTTGCCGAAGGGTCTCAGCGGTGGGCGCGCCCTCATCCAAGGAGGCCAGGCCCCGCATGCGTTGCCTCGCGAGACGAGACGAGATTCCCCTGACCACTCCCAAAGTCTACACATGGTTGAATGATGATTAGACATCATTCAACTGGTTCTACAATGTTCTACATGCAGCCATGGTTGTCTATCATTCAACACATGGTTCTACGTGCAACAAACAGTAGAGAAATTCGGATTTAGAATGATTTTAGACATCTACGGATGATCTTTCATAGCTTGGACACGCCCAAGAAGGCCAAAGACTGCCTTCAACTTGCACACTCCGCCCCCAATCTGAGGCCAGCGGCAAGACTTGATACAAATGCGGGCAGTCACTGCAGTAGAGTGCCAATGGCAAGCCTCCAATCGGAACTTGGCAGGGACCCTGGTTCCGGAGGGATTGAAACAGGAATGTTCCTGGACCTTTCGAGTGGACGAGCTTGTTTCAAGCACCGAATGCTTCGAAACGTTCACCGCTCCGAACGTCTGCCTTCACAGGAGCTGTCGATCTCAGTATTTCGTAGCCCAAAGTTGGACTGGAACGGACGGTGTTTCTGCTGCCGTCTTTGGTTGAGAGCCTAAAACAGCGAAACCGTGTAATCTTTGGTTGGGCAGGGAATTTTAAAGTCGACAGCTTTGCATCCCACGACCATTGTTCCCTGGGATGACCCACGAAAACCGGCTGGCTGTGCAGTGAGAACCTCTTGTTTTTCGTTTCAAAACTTGTTGCAAGCTTGCAAGCCCATGTCCAGCGGTGTGGTACAATTCTTCCCTGCTGAGTGAAAGGGGGGCTGCAAAATGATTATGATATCAATATGCTGCAAATGAACAGGTGCAGTGAGACACTGTCATTTGAAGGTGTATGTGTAGTGTGTATATATATATATATAAGCAACACTCTATATACATATATATATATAATGCATTGGCATATAGAAGGCCACACCCTACAAACCGTGGAAGGTTGAATTCTACAAAAAGGAATCACTTCATTTTCAGGGGTCAAGCAGGGTTCTGACCCACACACACACACACACAAGTTCTTTGAGTCACACAGCAGGGTAGTAAACCCTGGCAAACCCAACACAAGCTGGTGCACTCAGGCCGCCACCCACGAAGAGGAGATGCCTGCATCCAATGACAGCAACAGAAACACAGCTGGCCAATGATTGCCGGGTATGTGTGATCCATTGGGACTAAGCGGACTAAGAAGCACAAACATCTGTTCTGACCCTACCGATCGGTTACAACCGCCACGCTCCAAAACAGAACTACCGGTGTTTGCGGGATTTCTGCGGCCTCGGACGAGCGAACTGGCTAGCATCATGGCTAGTGCGTTAGCATCCTGGCTTCCCAAGCTTTACATAACCAACTGTTTCTGGTAAGCGCTACAGGTAAGTATATTTAAAATTCCATGAAAGCGGGCGTTTTTGTGTTTTTGTGTGTGTGTGTGTTTTTTTTCCTGGATGTGTTCAGTGTTCTTGCATGCAAAGAATATGTAGAAGACGGTGGATCCCATTAGAGCAGAATCAAGACCAGGGTGGGTGGTTCTATTCTAGTTTCTATTCTATATCAACTTTGGGCTTGGGATGTTAGTTGAAATGGTACCTGGAATTCACGTTCGTGCTTGAAATTCCCGACGCTGAAGTTCCTGGCTGGCTCAGAACACAGACGTAGTGTGACTTTGGTCACTTTGATGTGGCCCTGGATGTAGGGCGTGCCCGATTAGACACACAATTTCCAATATATACTCTTTGCGTTGGCTCAACTACGCGTGTGTTACTTTCTCTTTCTCCATCGCCCTCTTCATGTGAGGCGAGCTACAGGGGCCAGTCCATGCTTGTTTGACTCCTACCGCCTACCTCGAAGTGTTCCTCTTCTTCGTGGACGGCTGTCGGGTGGTCGTCGATGTGTTCGGTTCCGTGACCGTCGTCCGTCGTGTTCGAAGACCGGGACGCTCCGGTCGCCTCTGCCCAGAGAAGCCACCCATGGGATACTTGTTGCTGGCCTTGGACGCGCCCCACGACCGAGTTCATCCACCAGACTCCAACGGGACGGATCTAAGACGTGGCACAGATCAAAACGGCTGAGTATAGCCCTGGTGGTCTGTGGTTTAGACAGTCATGATCTTCATGATCTTTTAGGGACCACCCCGGATGGTGAATGAATAATCATAATAGACCCTCCAATCATATTATATCCCGAAAGGTCCCAAATCACCACAAGGCACTCGATCTGAGACTTCCTGCATTTGACTCCCCAGCCATACTCGCGAACGTCATCGCGACCCATCGGCCCGTCAACTTGCACTGAGTGCCATTTTTTTGAAAGTCTGCACCATTGAAGAGAAAAATTGCTGCCAACATTGGTCTTTATATGGTAACAAGACAAGACTGGAAATCACAGTGCCGATGAACACAAAAGAGAAACAACAGCAACAGCATGCTTGACTCCGCAAATGGAGCAACATGGACCACCTGCAGTGAATTGGACTATCTATTGACAGTGTAACTCCTAAAGGACCTTGTACTGGGCATGTCCTTGAAATACCAGGGTTTGCAGGTGCAGCAGCTGCTTCTGCCACTAAAGAGATCCTGAGGTACTTGGGGTCCACCTGTGCCACGCCAGGCCACGCGAACCTTCCCGGGGAAGGCCACCTGCGAGGTCGAAGGACTAAGAAACATTGGTTCAAAGATGCTCTGTCTTTTCAAAAGCAGAAAGAAACCAAACATTTTTGAATTAACATACGATAAAATTAACGACTTTATCATCAATAACCAACTGCCTAAAATACGTTCAATTCAAGACGAACCAAGCATGGGTCCTGGGTTTAGTCATGACACCGTTTCATTGATGAGTGATATTCTGCCCTTGTTGAACATCTCCATTGGTTCGCTTGGCCGTTGGCAAGTAAAAGCCTCACAAATCGGCTCTTTTTGAAGGGTTGTCAACAGCCAACCTGCCCTTGCTGTATCCGCCATATTGATCATGGCCTAAGGCAAGTGGCAGCTGCTGATGCGGTTGGCTTTCTCATCTTTCCATTTCAGCAGCTTTTGCCTAACCTAACCTTGTTGACTCATGAACCCCTCGAAATGCTCGCCCCTGGAAAGTGCCTTTGCGACTGAATCTCTTCCAAGCAGGCAAGTCATCGACTACTTGTCCTTCCCATCGCCTGCGCAGCAGCAACGGCGTCCCAGCAAGCCTTGCCAAAGACCTCTGGTTTGAGGCTCCAGTCCTCGGCGATGGACTGTAAAACAGAAGCAGTTGCAAAGGACATGACAATGGCATGAAACTGACTGATGTGGAAGACCCGGGTCGCCTGGGTCAAAGCCAAACCCCAGTCACATGACAAATCGCCCAAAGCTTCCTTTATCACTTGATCATGATGCCCAGCCTAGAGATAGGATGCGCATTGAGGGAAGAGTTCAGAAAGTTCCTCACCCTTCCGCGCATCATGGCTAAGTGCTTCCCATCGCCTGGAATCCGGTGATTAAGCATCCTACTCACTGCCACAAAAAAACTCTAGAAACCGCTTCTTCAAGTCACCTGGACGTGAGTCTTCCCCTTCCCTTCTGCGCGCTCCCAGGGTATCTTATTTTGGTGCGCGGAACGCTGAGCAAGGATCAGCGCTGCCCTCGATGAGGATATTGAGAGGAACAGGGCTGAGTCTTCATAAGGATTTGTCCCCATGTTGGCCGAGAACTCACCAGTGGTAAAAACTGGCAGTCACATTTGCTCCTGCAAGACAGTAGTTGCATCGAAATATGGATGTCACTGTGACTAGAAAAACCATTGAGGAAAAGCATAGTTAGAAAAGCAGTTAGTTGATCTCTGTTGATATCATATGGGATCTAGTCAAAATGTAATCCAAAATTGGCTGAGCTACTTTCGGCCCCTTTATCTAATCTTTTTGATATCATACGGAGTCGTCCGGAACGTTTCACACCACCAGTGACCTCCCTTTTTGCCTGGGACGACTAGGGCAGTCACGACTGCCTGCGGTCGGAAGGGAAGGTCTGGGCGGAATGGGCTCAGACCTCACGTGTTCAGCCGACCAATCTGCACGGTAGCTGGGACAGCACCGCTGGTGGCCAAGCGGAATAGCTGCAATTAGCGTGCTGGCAACCTATCATACCAAACTCGGACCAGTCCAATCTCTGATATTGGATTGAGGTCGTCTCAAATCACCCTTCTGCCATGCGCCCAGCAGCAAATACAGCCGAATTGGCCACTGATCTGTTTTAATTCCACCTGGGCAAACTGCCTACACTCCTTTCTAGCTTTCAGCACTTACCAGCACACATGTTTTCAAGATGTGGCCCTTGTTCATCCATGAAGGAGGTCATGCAAGAGGTCCTCAACATCCTTTACTCTTGGTGTGCGTGCCACACATGAAAATCGGCTTGGAGCATCCAGGCATGTCCTCTCGTGGCATGTCCAGGCATGTCCAGATTTCAATAGCACGGCGTGCTCAACATTGGGCCTTGATAATGGCTAGACGGATAAGCCGGCCTTGGTGCTCAATGATTTTGCAAGATTCGTCATTTCCCCCGGATCTGCCCCCCAGACACCTGCCTTCAATCTGGTAGTTAGTCAGTTAGTCTTGAAAACGTTTAAATACGCCGTTGAAGATGTTGAAGTCAAAACCATCCTGCACTCCCTCTCCCTCTCTACATTCTACATGGCCTTCAAACTCTCCATCTGCCGCCATTTATGACTGCCACCTGCTGAAACCACCTCGATGTCAAAGCATCTCTCAAACCAAGCTGCCATGGATGGGCATAAGTATAGGTATTGTGTTTCCAGTAGTCCTTGGTCAAATCCATGGGCCGGATATTATGCGTGATTCAGAAGCCTCCTAACGTAGATGTCCAGCAGGTGGTTCAAGAACATGTCCCTCAACGTCCCTCAGAATGTTCAAAGTACTCTAAAACAACTCTCAATGTAATATGGAGAAACTTAGCTGGTTGTTCCTTCCTCTGGGGTCAACTTCTGGTTCCTACTGGGGATATGTTCATTGCGCCAAACACGCCATCCACCACCGGTTCGACTGCCGGGAGAGCATGGCAGAGCTACGAACCCGAAAGCGAACTTCCAACGTCAAAGCAGCAAAAGTACACACTGGAAGAGACCCACATGGAACCTGAAAACCACGTCGGGTTGTAGAGGAAAGCTCGTCTTCCAGTCTGGTCCAATGCCGCGTTTTCAGGTTCCATGTTAATTTTCCCGGGTGTATCCTCCTGCAAATGAACATGGACCACCAACACCACTGGGGTTTGTAGAGAACATGAACCGCCAACACCACCATGGTCCAATGGACCCGCCCTGCTCGGGTGTACAACAAACATCGTAACTTCAGGGTACTCTCGCCAACCAGGGCCGTCACGGATCAAGAGTTATCCCATGTTACACATCACATCCCACGGCTCTTGCGCCATTGTTGGCGCTCTTGCAACGTCTGGACTCACTCACCCGCCCGCCAGTGATATTTTAGTAGCGATGCCCTTCGCTCCGTTCGTAAGCGATGCCAGGAGCCCCGTTCGTAGCGTTCTTGTTGCTAGTAGTGAGGCCAGGAGCCCCGGTTCGTAGCGTCCGATTGCTCCTAGGGTCCTAGGGTATCTGATAGCCTTGTTGAATTGAAACCGTTTTGATACATATTCACTGCCAGCCAAAATGCATCCGGTGGATTTCTATCTCACAATTTGCAGCCCGTCGAAATCGGCCATCTACCTATCTGCCCCGGCCTGTGCCGATAGCGCGGGGTTCCCGTAGCTGGTGCCGGTGCCTACGGAGCGCAAAGATCGCAAAGGTTGGAACATCAGCTATGGTTTCTTCTGATTGGCTACACCCAGTTGCATGGTTTTGTACCTGTTCCACACATGGCGCCATGTGTTGCAAGTAGGGCACCTCAATGAAGTTTGGATGTCAGGACGGCTTGTTCAGAGTACTGTTCAGAGTACTATATTGTACACATGGAACTAGTTTGGGGGAGCCAGCCTGTCTATGGCTTTCTTGGGGTTGTTGCTTACAAAATGAACCATCTATAACACCTTGGCAAAATGATGTCCATCCAAATGTCCATTCCATTCTTCTTCTGTTACTGGTCAGCACCAAGTCTGGAAGAATAAGCACCAAGTCTGGAAGGCTTGTTCACTGGTCTTCCCGTTATTTTTGACGGCTTGTTCATGTTGTGTTCTCCATATCTGGACCCGTGTCTGGGACAAAGTTGCAAGCTCCCTGCAATTCACAGGTTTTCAGCAGTGTTTGAGATGCATTCACCTTCACTCTCGGACCTTTCTGATCAGGCCTTCAGAGTGGCACATGTTTGATCCTTACCTCTAGGCACGAGACTGGCATATGAAAGAAGAACAGTCGGAGCTACAGTTGATCCGATTGGGTGCCAACGGGTTGAAGTCATGATGTTGCGAATGTCCAGCATCTGCAACATAGACTAGACTACTCTTGATTAATACGCCCCCCCTCTTGAAGAGGTGTTTAATTCAAATTGGGGCGTTATTAATCAAGAGTCTACAGTATGGCACCACTTCCCAACAATTACCCAATGCTACCGTAACCAAGCCCTCATGCAAGTCGAGACTCCGTAGGGCCAGTGGGGATATGGATACATGGTCCACTGATTCCTAGGCTGGTTAGGAAACCGGAGCGGCGGGACCGATGGGACCAGCACGTTGAAACATCCCAACTGCTACAGTAAAAGGCTGATATGGTAAGGATGGGCTAAGCCCGGCTTTGTGCACCCAAACTCACTGCTTTCAAGGCCCTAGTCAAACATCTGGTGGCTATCATGATTGGTGAGCCAGCCAGTTCCATCATGTGAAGCATCATTTACTGCATCATACTGTTTCCTGTTCACAGGAAAAAATCTAGAATAGAGTACGTTCCACTAGAACCAATTCCATTGGAAACCAAACATGGTCCTTGAGTACCGAATACTGAATACGGACTCCTTGGGCCATCAGGACTGGGGCACCACATCCGTCAAACAAGCGGCCTGTGTCTTATTTCAGGTACAAGTTAAGCGTCCACAACAAGTCAACAATCACAAAATATGCTGTGACAGCAATAGCCTGAGATGATCTCGATTGTCGACCTCTAAAAAGTCATGAAACCAAAATTTTAGGAACACCTTCTAAATTCTCCGCGTCTACTTTGGGCCCTCATTTCCTAGCCAGCCCAAGCAAAAAAGCAATGACAACAAACATGTACTTCGGCCACCTTTGCACCCCACGACCGGGACAGGTTGGCGCCCAAAGAATCCGGACAGGTTGGCAGCATCCATGCCCGGCCCCATCGCCGGCATGTTCTTGCCGACGTTGGGTGAAGCACATCAAACAAACAGATCTGGACAGGCTGAGTGGCTGATAGGGCCCAGTGTAGTCTTCCGCATGTGCCTTGCCCCACTGGTCACAGCTAGGATGGCCAATCGGTACCAAATCGGGGTCGGGAGCTCTGCTTTTGAAGTGGCCACATCAAGAATCGATCTCCACATCCTTGTTGGAAAATGTGCTTGAACAAAAACCTGGCCCAACCGGTCGGATGAGCCTGGACCTAGAGAATGGTATCTGATGTAATGTTACATAAATGAGCCCATTCATCCAACTAACTGTTTTCTGGAAGAATGTTCACGGTCCGCACCGTAATGGAACTCTGAAATCTGCCAAATACATGGTCGAACGATTCTTCGCAACATAAATTCGCAGAAACTCCGCCCTCTCGTTCTCATCGAGATCGCGGTCGCTGGCGGTGCTATGCGCGGTGGTCCTGGATCTTCTTGGCCGATTCCCCTCCAGGCTCACGCTGAGCGATGACCTCCACGGCGCCAAGCTCACGGTCAAATCATGTCGCCAACATGACTGTGCCCAAAGTCCCAAAATCATCCAAAGTCATCCAAAGTCATCCAACATCTAAACTAAATGAAACTCGAGTCGAAGAAGTCTGAATGGATATAGCTGCTGGAGGACGACAATTCATCAGCCTTTAGGACATCGATGCTGCTGGGGTTTCACGGAATTAACTACACCGACCTTCAATTTCTTCTCACAACCCACACACTCCACATATATTGTTGCGTGTTCTTGTTAATGAAGTCAAACCATGTCAAACCCACCATCAAACCGTTTGACCCAACCGGAAGGTCCCCAACAACCGTCCTCGCAAAGCCGGACCGCCACCCCTGCAAGTCCCGGGGCCCAGGCCATGTAGTGGAACGGCTGT